GCACACGCACACTCACACGCACACGCACACGCACACGCACACGCACACGCACACGCACACGCACACGCACACAAACCTGAACTTGTGGCGCTCCGCGCGGATTTCTTGGATCCGCGCCTTGGCCCCCCCGGCGGCGCCTCCGGCGCCGCCCCGGGCAAGCTCCGCGCGCCAGCGAGGGGGTCCAGCGCGAATCCAAGAAGTCCTCGCGGAGGGCCAAAAGTTTACATGTATGCTGTTCCGCGCGGAGCGCCAAAAGTTTTATGTTTATGCTCTTCTTCTAAGTCAGGTATTCGTTTTCTGATTCATTGTTTTGCCGATCGGCGCGGGCTCTCGCCCCCCCCCCCCTTGGAGCAGATCTTGGCTGTTTCTGGCGCCCGTTTCGAGCAGGTGGAGTCTCCCCCCCATAGGACGCACTGTTGCAAACAGTCGCGTTGAGCAGATGTCTCGAGCCAGATTCTCCCCCTCCCCCCCCTTCCACCCAATGTCGAAACGCCGAATCAGAAAACGTTCACCAGGAATTTTGGCTTAGCCGTGCAAGGACTCGAAGAAGAAGCAAAATTCGTCGCCTCCCAGCGGTATTCCCGCCTCGACATGCGTTCCAACAGTTGCGCCTCGCCGAGAGCTTCCCAGGGCAACCCGCATCGCCGAGTTATACGCCCCCCCAAACCAAGGGTGTCCGGGAAGGGGGCCGAGGATCGCAGGGGTGCGACCTGTTTCGTATTCATTGTTTTGCCCGCGTCGCCACGAGCGGCCGCTGGAGGCCCGAGTTGTACGGCCCCCAAACCAGGGAGGTCCAAGAAGGGAGGTGAGGATTCCAGGGGTGCGATCGTTTTCTTATTCATTGTTTGGCGCAGGCCCTCGTACGCCCCCCACCAGCGGAGTAGACCTTGGCTGTTTTTGGCGCCCGTTTCGAGCAGGTGGAGTCTCCCCCCCAGAGGACGCTCAGTCCCAAACAGTCCCACGAAACAGAGGTCTGGAGCCAGAACCCCCCCCTACCCCACCTTTCGATCAATGTCTAAACGCCGAATACGAAAACACTAGCTGATACGGTCAGGAACTTTGGCTTAGCGTGTCGCTCCGCCAGTTCTGGGCCACCGTGCTTCAACGACACGCCAACCTCGTCACAGTCCCTGGACGTCAACCTCCCCGAAACTTTCCCAGCCCCCCGCCCCACGGAGCGGAGCGACACGCTATCCGCTCTCAGGGCACAGCGTATCGCATGGACCGCCACCGCGCGGGCCAGGCCCCTGGGCCGCGACCCCACGGATAATTTCGGGGCGGTGTTGTTCGCGGAAGCCCCGCGCGGAGCGCATCCATGCGGCCGCGTATCCCCGGGATCGCGCCCCGGAATCCAGGCCGCGAGGGCGTGGACATGAATATTCACAAAGGAAGATATGCAAACACACACACACACAAAGTTTCGCCTCTCTCCCAGGAAAAGAGTATGCGAGAATCGTGGAGATGGAGGGGGAGACGAAGATCCAGCAAAGGTGGGGAACTATGGGTGGTCCTGGGATCTTTGTCTATTCATTCTGGGCACCTTCAGTCCTGAGATCCGATGGCACGAAACATTGAAACATCGTAGAGGTCACGGCCAACGCCCTTGAACCCTTTGTCTCTGCGCCATTGTTCCAGCCGGATCCATCTGTGAGGGTGATTGAGCGAAAACGCTTGGCTCGAAAACATTGAGACGTCACGGCGACGACCACGACGGCAACGACACCGACAAGCTGATGGCTCTGCCACAAGCTTGGGACATGGGCCGGGCCTTGGAGGGAGGATGAGGAAGAGGGGAGGCGGAGGAGGAGGCCGGAGGAGAGGATAGGAGGATAAGGAGGGGGAGGAGAGGCAAGGAGAAGGAGCAGCGAAGGAGGGAGGAGGAAGAGGAGAGGAGGAGGAGAAGAGGAGGAGGAGGAGATGAGCGCGAGAAGGGGGACGGAACAAGGTAGAGAGGAGGAAGTTTTTGGGAGGAGGAGGGAGGGAGGAGGAGGGAAGAGGAGGGGATGAAGGAGGAGGGAGGAGGGGGAGGAGGGATGGGGAGGGAGGGCTGAGGAGGCTGGGAGGAGGAGGAGGAGGATGAAGAGGAGGAGGAGGATGGGAAGGGGGAGGAGGAAGGAGGGAAGTGGGAGGCATAAGATATGTGGCAATATTGGGGGGGGTCCTGAGATCTGTGTCTACTCGTTGTGGGCCCCTTCCCTGAGTTCTTTTGCCGCCCGCCGTGGAATCAAGGGCGGAATAACCATCTGGACCAGACAATTGGCTTTTACTAAACGGCCTTGGGCGTTAACTAAACAGCCTTGCCCTGTTCGACTCCTTCAGTGGGGGCGTTTAGTAAACGGCTTCGCGTGTCGACCTGCAGTACGCCTCGATCACGGAGGAGGCCCCGGGCCCCCTCCTCGCGCGCCGTCCGTTCTGCCAACCCTCGCGGCACGCCTCGGACGGATGGCAGCCTGGGGGGAGCAAGATATAAAAGCTGGATTTGGGGTGGGGCGCACCTCCTCACCAGGCGAGCAAGACGCCTCTCTCCACTCACACCATGCCTCCCCTCTTCCCATCCTCCTCCCCTCCTTTATCTCCTCCCCCTCTCATCCCCTTCCCCTCCTCCTCCTCCTCCTCCTCCTCTCTTCCTCCTCTCCTCTCCTTTCCCCCAACTCCCTCCTCTCTCCCCTCCTCCCCTTCTCCCTCTCTTCCTCCTGGCTCTCCTCCTCCTGCTCATCCCTCCTCCCTCCCACCTTCATCTTTCCTCTCCCTCCCTCCTCTCCTCCCTCCTACCTCCTCCGCCTACCTCCTCCCTCAACTCCCCCTCTCCTCTCCCTCCTACCCCTCCTCCACCTCCTCCTCCTCCTCCTCCTTTTCCTCCTCCTCCTCCGCCTCCTCCTCCTCCTCATCGCTCTCTCCCCCCTTTCCTCCCTCCCTCCTCCTTGTCCGAGGGCTTCTCCCAGACATGCTCTCGTCGTGAAGCGTCGAGATTCACGGCGGGAGGTGTTGCGTCGCCTTCGACCTCCTGGGACCCTCGCTGGGCCCTGGGGCCGCCAGAGAACGACTCGAGGTGAGAAGCCTGTCCGGGGGAAGAGGTCGGGACTTCTCGGGGGCCCCGTGCTGACAGAATCAGGGCGTCGCACGTCTGGGCAGGAGAGTGCCCCTGAAGCGGCGGCTTCCGGCCTCTGGGTTGTCTTGGCCATCTCTGGATGCACCGAAGACTTCTCGGAAGGCCGGAGGGCTCCCCTTAGAGGCCCCGCGCTGCCATCTGTGAGAGGGCCCTCTCTTTCTCGTTCTCCTCCCCACCGCTCGCCGCCGGCCGAAGGGGGCCCCGCACGGCCCCCGAGCTGCAGCCGCGGCGCCAACGAAAAAGATTTGCGAGGGGCGCGCGTTGCTCCGCCCCACGCCTGCTGCACCCCGCCTTAACGAGTACCCAGACGCCGCGACGCTTCCCCCCCGGATCACACCTGGTCGTGCAGCAGCCCGGCGTCGTCGTCGTCGTCGTCGTCGTCGTCGTCGTCGTCGTCGTGGTCGTCGTCGTCGTCGTCGTCGTCGTCGTCGTCGTCGTCGTCGTCGTCGTCGTCGTCGTCGTCTACGTCGTCGTTCTCGTCTTCGTTGGGATCTTGTCCTCGGTTCTTGGAGATTTTCCAGCCTCGGGGTGCTCTCCAGCAGCTGCGCCTCGCCGAGAGCGTCCTCGGGGTGCCTGGCTCGTCCCCACTGGCCGCCAGAAACTGGAGCTGTGGCGCGAATGATCAAGTGAACCCCGCCAGGGTCCATTCCCCCTCCGATCCGGTCCCGGTGTTGCGACGATCCGATGCGCCCTGTTGCCCAGTCCCCCCATGGCGCTGCTGAGCATCCTGGCGCAGCTGATCCGATCGGCCTTCCGCTGCACACCTATGCGGCCCGATGCGACGCACGCTCCGATCCGATCATATGTGCTGCCCCTGTCGCATATGGCTGCGTGTGGCTGCACTGCTATGGTCCAGTGCTCCTCTTTCTCGCGTCATCTAGCTCACCGGCCAGGCGGACATAATACAGCATCTGCTGTCATCTGCTTGCCAGAAGCTGCCGCATGTAACTCTAGATTGGCCTCTGTATATTTTGCTTGCCGTAGGAGGTGGAGAAGAAGGAGGAGGAGGAGGAGGAGAAGGAGGAGGAAGAGGAGGAGGAGGAGGAGTAGGAGGAGGAGGAGGGGGCGAGGAAGAGGGCGACAAGGAGAAAGGGTAGGAGGAGGGAGGAGGTGGAGGAGAGTAGGAAGGCGGATGAGGAGGAGGAGGAGGACGCAGAGACTGTGATCGCGTTGTCGCCGATCACAATTGGCCATAGTGATCGCCGATCGCAGTGACCACCGCATCACGTGATTGGTTTGTTTCGAACATGTGCTGTGTAGTTTTGCTCACGTGGCTAGTGTGTACGCAGCTACCATGATCGATCATCCGTTCTGTCTCCGCTTGCCCACATCCTTCTCCTTACTCCTCCCTCCTCTCTCCCCTCTCCTCAATCCCTGTTTCCTCGTCCCTCCTCCTGCCTTCTGCTCCGCTCCCCTACCCTTCCACTGCCCCACCCCCTCTTCCTGCCGAAGCAGGGCCCCGACAGACGCTCGTGGGCCACCAAAGCGGTGCACGAACCCCAGGCCTGTCTCGGTTCCAGTGTTAGGGCGCCCCTGCCCGTCCTTTGGTCAGTCGAACTTCATCGGATCCATGGTGCTGCTCCGCTCTGCTCTTCCCGTTATCTTACCTCCACACTTCGCCCTCTCACTTGAGTGACCGAAGAAAACTGGGTCGACTGCGCCGACGTTCGCGCGTACACTTCCCGCGTGCGGCCACGCGTCAGCGCCCTCTTGTCCACGGGGTGTGCCACGCAGGCGGCCCGCGTTAGCCCCGGCGCAAGGTCGCGATGTCTTGTTTCGTCTGACCAGTTTGTTCTCCTCGCTCACTTCCGCCAGCAGCATCTGACAAGCTCCTCTCCTCGCCCTCCGCTGCTGCCGCCAGAGCGGCCGCCAGGTCCTCACCAAGGACGAGATGCTCCGGAAGATCGCGACTGAGGCCGAGATCGACGAGTACGAGGCTGGATGCCCGTGGGGTGCACCCTGCTCGCCGCTCATCCCAGCCAGTATCCTGATGGCTCTGTGAAAGGTGATCTGCTCTTGGTAGTATAGACGGCCTGGAAGGGCAGAATCCTGCTGTCCTTTTTGTTGCACTTCGCAAAAGGCATGTATTCGGCATCATATTTGGGCCATTTATCAGTTTCAGAACATATGCTTTGTATTATGTGTATATATATGTGTATATACATATTTTTGGTTGCTGCATATATATATATATATATATATATATATATAAAAAACTAGTTGGGACATGTTTCAATTATTTTGCATATATGGCCCTGACTGGGTCTGCCCGGCAACACAGATCCCTGAGATCCGGGCGCCTGCAATGCTGAAGCACCGCGCGTGTCCGCCCGAGTTCAGGCCCCGGGGCTATCACAGGTGCGCGGAGAATGGGGACGAGTGCGCTCCTTCGAAGGAGGCTTGCATTCGTGAAGGGGGCTTCGTGGGTGGCGGCGGCTCTGCTTGGGTGGGCGGGTCGGGTCGTGGTCTTGTCTCCATGGGCGCAGGCGCCTGGGATTGTCCAGGTCGGGGCGCTTGCCGGCCCCGCGCTGCCGCGGGCTTGGTTTGGGGCCGGGGCGTGGCTCCCTGTGGCTTTTCGCGCCCCCCCTGGTCGTCTGCGGGGGGAGGCGGCGCCATGATCTGGTGTGATGTGGTCGGTAGGTTCTGGGGTGTGGTTCAGGGTTAGACGCATGTCGGTCGTCTGGTGGATGGTTTCGGTTGTGCCCCCCCCCTTCTCCATGCGCGGTCGGACAGGAAGCAAGGTGTTGGTCTGGACATGAAGCGGAGTGCGGGGACAATGCTCGGGAGCGTCGGAGCAGGGAGGTAGCAGGAGCAGCATTTGCCATACTCATGCCACCGCGTCGCGCCGCAGCTGGGCCGGCTCAAGATGGAGGCTCTCCGGGAGGAGATTCGGCTCGGAAATGCCGGCCTCGCCGATTGGGAGAACGTGCGGGGTTTGAAACTTCGCTTCGATTTCCTCAGGCTGTGCGGGGCCTCGCAGGAGTTTCTCGAACAGTGGCGCTATGGACGGTCTTTGGGAGCCTCCCGTCACGTCGCCCGCGCTTTTCCCAACCATCCATCGGCACGGAACAATCCAGAATGGGCTGAGCGGGAGCTAGATAGATTGGAATCGATGGGAAAGATATCATTCTTTCCTGCAGGAGGCGCCAAGCCAGCAGCACTCAACGTAAATCCGCTCGGCCTCATCTTGAAGGAAAGGGAAGGAGTTCCTTCGGACGCGGCGGAGTTCGAAAGGCTGAAGGCCCGATTAATTGTCGACCTTCGGCGGGGCGGGGTTAACGATCTTCTCCCCGCGGTGAACGTCAATTACGGTACCATTGAAAAAGCCGTTAGCATGTTAGGTGCTGGATCGTGGATGTACGTGATCGACCTTCAAGACTCGTTCTTCAATTGGAAGGTAGCGGACGCAGACACGTTCCTCTTGGGGTTCTACTCGAATGTCCGCCGTGCTTACGGAAAGTTCGATTACCTTCCTTTCGGCTTAAAGCCGGCCCCGGGCACGAACGACTCGTCCGTGAAGGAGATCCTTCGCATTCTCTTGGTCAGAGAAGCTGTGCCTCTGCTCGATTTCGTCGACGACTTCCTCGGCTTCGCAGAGAGCGAGGATGAGGCGTGGAGGCAGCTGCGCACCGCCGTGCGTTTCTTCATCCAGTGTGGAATTCCCGTGAGCGCGAAACCCACAGGCGTCCGACCCCCTAGCCAACGACAGGTTTGGATAGGGTGGATTTTTGATACTGCCCGTCGTGTAGTGACAGTCTCCGACGAGAAGTGCGAGCGTTGCCGGGCTTTGTGCTTAGAGCTGATTGCTGCGAACAGCCAGCAAACTCTGAGAACGAGGCAGCTTGCCACCGCCGCAGGTTTTGCATCTCACATAGCAGACATTTGGCCGCAGGCGCGACGACGCTTGCGCCCATTGTGGGTCGACATGAACTCCACAGGCGTGTACGCTCTCTGGCAAGCCCAGCCAAGCGCCGATCCAGTGGTGCACCTTTCGCCGTTGAGTTTACAGAACCTCGATTGGCTGTATCGAGCGTTGGAGTCTCCACCAGTGCGTTCCCTGCACTGTGCGGGTGGCTCCTTATCCTCCTGGGGGCACAAATCGCCCGAGTTCCTCAACTGGCGTTCCTTAGCCAACGAGGGGCTCATCCAGGTAATAGAGACAGATGCATCAAAACTCGTAGGCTGGTCGTACCATGTCTGCGCCGACAGCAGAGTCGTGTCAGGCGTGTGGCCAGATGATTTTGTCTTAACCGAAGGCCACCTCGGTGCGACAGACATCAACTACAAGGAACTCTGGGTCGCCCTGCAATGCCTGCTGCGCGAGGGGCAGACGTTTGCAGGGTGGCGGGTTTTATTCCGCATGGACAACACAGCGGCTGTTCACTATGTGAACATACGGTACGGGAGGGTGCCGTCTCTAGAAGAGCTCGCCCGCGGGTTCGAGGCGGCAGAACGCAATGCGCAATGCTGGGCGCTCGCCGTGCATATTCGCGGCGTTCACAATCCTGTAGCCGACAGCGGGTCCCGCTCTCCAAGCTTCGCGTTGGCTTGGGCAGAGTGCCCCTTCCGTGAGGCAGTCCTGCGTCGCGACTTGTTCCGGGATGTAGAGGCGAGGTGCCAGGTCTCGTTCTCGCTTGATTTGTTTGCGGATCGCGCTGGCCTGACGGCGCTTGCGCCCCACTGGTGTTTCCCCGAATTGACTGCGTTCGAGCAGGATCTGCGGGGCCACGTAGTGTGGGCTCACCCCCCGAGAGCGATTATCTATGCTATGCTGGAGCATTTCGCCCGGGAGGCGGCGGCCGGTTGCGACGCCCGCATCGTTATCCTTATTCCAGAGGACACGACTGCTCCGTGGTTCCGCGTGTCGTTGCTGCGGAACTGGCATCGAGTCCGCTCGTGGCAGGCGGGCTCCGATTTATTCCGGTGGGTGTCCACCGCTGGTGCCAGGCACGGCCCCTGTACAGACCTGCAGTATTCCGTCCTGCAGAACTGGCAGCCGGCGAACAAGCGCAGGCGCAAGGGTGAAACAAACATCATCATCATCATCATCATCATCATCATCATCATCATCATCGTCTGTTCCATCCATCAGGCGATGTGTCGTGCCGACTCGGAGGCGCTATGAGCATGCGATCTTCAAAGCTACGGGAGCTACGGCAACAAAAAGGGTCGGGGAGAGTGCAAGGGCGAGAGTGTGGGTGGCAGGGTGGCCGGCTGAGGGGGGGGAGCGCGCCCGCCGACCCGCAGGTCCCCGCTTTGCCTCCCCATTCTTCCAACCTCAGGAGAGAGTGAGAGAGAGAGAGAGAGAGAGAGAGAGAGTGTGGGTGCATGTGTGAGGGAGAGACGGCGAGAGAAGGGGGGAGCGCGCCCGCCGACCCGCAGGCTCTCGCTTTGCCTCCCCATTCTGCCAACCTCCTTCCCTCTATTCACTTCACCATTCTCCGCCCTCCTTCAACGCACAGAAGGGAATGGTGTTGCTCGCCTCGCCCCCCCCACCCCGTGCCCCTCCACCCTGTCGCCCTGCCCTCCCGTCGTCCCCCTCCCCCGCTTCGTACTTGGGAAGGAAGAGCTGGGACGGGGAGCGTGTATGGCTGCTCTGCACGCGGGAGGCGGCATAGGTGTCGGCGCGCGTGTGCACGGAACTCTCGTCCCAATCTCGTCGGCTTGGGAGAGAGCAGTTGACCTCGGTGCCCCGGGGGTCAAAACGTCATGTGTGGCGCGGGCAAGAAAGGGTTATCGGGGGTCTGGTTTCGCTCGCACTGCGCCCCGGTCTCCGTAGCCGGTCTGGCTCGAGCGTTTGAGACTTCGTGCGTGCGCAGCATTCCACCAGCCCCCAGTCCATACCATGGCAGCAGACGAGACTCGTTTGAAGGAACTCATTGCGGAAGCATGTCAGCCTTCTGGTGCCATCCACACAGCCGTCAAAGAAGCGATTCAGGCGGCCGCAGTCGATGGTTGCGTGAAGATGTGTGCGGAGAGCGTCGCTCAGACGGCAATCGGCGACAGCCTTTCCGACGGAGGGGCGGTCTTCACCGCAATCGCCAGTGAAGCCGATCGGCTCGCCGACATGAGCTTCCCCTACCGCAAGCAGCTCCGGGGCCTGAGTGCGCCGCAGTGGGCCAACACGTGGGCTGCGTTGATGG